GGGGGGGGGGGGACAATTGCTCTTTCAGTAAGGTGGTCAGGGGTGGCCTCACTAAGAAGGTGACATTTGAGAAGATCCTTGAAGGAAATGAGGGAGCAGGCTGCTGGATATCTGAAGGGTAAGATCTCCAGGCAGAGGGAATGACGAGTGCAAAGGCCCCGGGGCAGAAGGATGAGACAGAGACCTAGGGAGAGACAGACACATATATACAGACAGACCTCCAGAAACATGATGACATGGAGATGAAGAGACACAGAGAGACGGAGAAAAAAAAGAAGCAGGCTGACAGAGACCCCAGGGGTGGAGACCCCAGGGCAGAAAACGGAACAACAGGTAAAGAGAGAAGCAGGAATAAGGCAGAGCCTACTCCTATAGAGGATGGGGCAGGGAAGGTTTCTGACAACCCCTCCTCCTTACAGTGAAGCTGGAGCCCCCCACACTGTGGGCCCTGGCCCCCAGCCCTGAGGTGGCCCCACCCCAGCCAGGCTGCCTGCTGTTGCGCTGGGAGCTATGGAAGCCGAGCCTCTACATAGAACAGAAATGCGAGCTGCGCCACCAGCCACAGCTCGGAGAAGCCAGCTGGGCCCTGGTGAGGTGGAAGGCAACCTCAAGAGCCTGGAGTGGGGGTGGCTGAGGGGAGGGTGGCTGAGCTGGGCCTGAAGGGCACAAGGATCCAGGCTCAGAGCCATGGCCATCCCACCAGGTGGGCCCCCTGCTCCCTGAGACCCTCCAGTATGAGCTCTGCGGGCTCCTCCCGTCCACAGCCTACGCCCTGCAAATGCGCTGCGTCCGCTGGCCCCTGCCTGGCCAGTGGAGCGACTGGAGCCCTAGCCTGATACTGACCACCGCACAACAGGGTAAGTGGGTGGGGAGGGGCCAGGAGCAGCCATCAGGACAAAGTCCAGCCTTCAGGGCCCTCCCTGAGCCCCTCTTCCTACTCCGTCCCCAGCCCCCATCGTCAGATTGGACACATGGTGGCGGCAGAGGCAGCTGGACCCCAGGACTGTGGATGTGCAGCTGTTCTGGAAGGTGACCCCTTCTGAAGGCCATCCCTCCACCCCTGAGACTTCTCCCAACCCAGACAGATCCCTGTGGGCTGGGGCTCAGGACTCCAACAGTTCTGGGAGGTTTGGATGCATTTGTATGTGATTTGCATGCACTTTGCATGCACCTAGGAAGCTGGGTAGTACCCTTCTGGAGAGACTACAATGTAGGACTCACCTATGGCAAAGAGTCAGCTCAGGGAATGATTAAGTGCCAACCTGCTCCTTCCTTTCCTCCCTCCTAGGACCTAGCATGGGGAACAGGGAAGAAGGAAGGGAGGGAGGAAGGTTGGCTCCCAGCCTGTGGGGGCTCAGTTCCTATGACCCACCCACCCCATCTAGAAGCCGTTCCCCACTCAAGATGAGCTGTGCACCCCCACCCCTTATCTTCTTCTTCCTGTGTCCACCGCAGCCAGTGCCCTTGGACAAATACAGCGGGCAGATCCAAGGGTACCTGGTCAGACCACCAGGCCAGACTGGGGCAGTCCCAGCCCTCTGCAACACCACGGAGCTAAGCTGCACCTTCCACTTGCCCTCGGAAGCCCGGGAGGTGGTCCTTGTGGCCTATAACACAGCGGGGACCTCTCATCCCACCCCAGTGGTCTTCCTGGAGAGCAGAGGTAAAGGGCGCTGGCGGCTAGTAGAGTGTAGTGGGTGAGCACGTAATGTTCAGAGGCTAGACTGCCTGGGTTCACAACTAGTCCCGTCACTTGCTAACAGTATGACCCAGGCAAGTGACCCCTGGCCTCGGTTTACTCACCTAGCAAAGGGGGACAATCCAGTGCCTACCTCAAAGCCCTGTTGTGAAGGTCACATCCATTAAGACATGTGCCTGGCACCACGTTCCCACTCAGTATGTGTTAGCTACTCTCGTTATCATCAGCCGGAACCAAGTTAAGCTGGTGATGGTACCACACAGGCTCACATTCACTCACATGCTCACAAGTGCAGACGCTCATAGACACGCATTCGCGTGTGCATGTATGCACGTGCGTGCATGCGCGCACACATGCACACACACACACAGTCCATTCTGCCAAAGAAGATAGGAAGAAAGCCCTACATTTTTCCGGCTGGAACACGGTCCCTGAGTTAATTGCTCATTCTCAGTGGATCGGCCACCACCACCCCCAGGTTCCCCTGAACATGGGTCCTCACAAGGTGACACCAGCGATAACAAGAGCTCGTACTCCAACTTACGAGCCGCATGACCTTAGGCAAATTACTTAACCTGTCTCAGTTTTCTCCTTGATGAATTGGGGCCAGGGTAGCGCCTCCCTCCTACGACTCTTAGCGGACTCAGTAAATTCATACATACCAAGGCCCATAGCCGCACAGACCATGAACTACACAGCGTTAGCACTGATCCCTGTCAGACACTCCTCGGCACGACGCACTGTGCCAGGCTCCTTCTAGGCATCATCTCATTTGATCTGCGCCAGGACCCTTACAGAGGAGCAAACTGAGGTCCTGATGTTGACTTACCCAAGGCCATCCGGCTTGTAAGTAACAAAGCCAGGATTTGAACCCAGGCTTCTGGCTCTGGGACCCGCATTCTTCTTGCTTTTGCTCTCTTACCTCCTACCCTGTCTCCAGGACCGCCCCTGGCCAGGCTCCACACCACAGCTAGAGATCCCCACAGCCTCTGGGTGGGCTGGGAGCCCCCCAGCCCTCGGCCTCGGGGCTATGTGATTGCCTGGGGCCTGGGTCCCCCCAGCCCCAGCAGCAGCAATATGACCTGGAAGATGGAACACAACGGGAACATTTCCGGGATCCTGATGCAAGGTGAGGCAGGCCTGGGGACCTGGGAGGCAAGGAGGCAGTGATTGTCAGGCAGAAAGCAAGGGGCGGGCTGAACCCCCCTACAGAAGAAGCAGACTCCCCAGTCTTTCTTGACTCCTTAGTCTCGTCTCATACCCCCAGAATCAGGAAGTTCTTCCCCCAGTCTAGCCAGATCCTCCCTTTTCACAGCCCTGCCCTGCCACCTTCCTAGCTCTCCTCCTTTTCTGCCCTTACGTCCATCAAATGATCTGAAGAAGAGATAGACGAGGCTAGCCCTGCAGCACAAGGCCTGGGTTATTCCCCACTGGAGGTCTGAGGTTAGCTCCTGATCATCTGCAGAGGTTAGCCCCTCACCAGGGGGCCTGCCCCATTTTCTCTCCACAGAGAACATCAGGCCCTTTCAGCTCTACGAGATCACCGTGACCCCTCTATACCAGGACACCGTGGGACCCTCCCAGCGCATCTATGCCTACTCCCAAGAGATGGGTGCGTCAGCCACCAGGCTCCTCCCAGAATCCTCCCCTCTCGACGCCTGCCTGGGGCCCCACAATCAGGACTATGAGGGAACATTTCCTTCCTCCCCCACCTCTGACCCACAGGAGACCCTCTCCCAACCCTAAGATGACCCCGGGCTTACAGTGGACCCCTGCAGCCGGACAGAAGTCAGGTGGTGGGGTGACAGAAACTGGGGAGTGAGTTGGGCAGAATTCACGAAGCGAGTCTGGCAAAAATCAACCAGTTTCCCTGAAAGAAATCAAGTGTCCTGTGTGGCAGAAATTAGACAGAAGGCCCGCCATAAAGTCAGAGAGCGAGTGGCAGAAATCAGATAGTGAGCCCAACAAAACCAAGCCTGGCAGAAATCAGGCGGCAAGGCTTTGGAGTCAGAGAACCAAGTGCAAATCCTGACTTAGCCACTTATTAGCAGTCTGTGGAATTCAGTCAAAGGTGCTGGCAACATGAGGCTTGGGCATGGGTCCCCTTGGACTCTCTTCTCCCACTCCCCGCCATAGTGTGGCTCAGTTCTGGGCTCCGGGGAGCCACAAGATGTCCAGCTAGGCTCTCCACTCTTCTCTGCTCCCCGTCAGCCCCTACACCTCGCTCTCTTCCGGCAGCCCCCTCCCACGCCCCAGAGCTGCATCTAAAGCACATCGGCAAGACCTGGGCCCAGCTGGAGTGGGAGCCCCAGGCCCCTGAGCTGGGGAAGAGCCCCCTGACCCACTACACCATCTTCTGGACCAACGCTCAGGACCAGTCCTTCTGTGAGTCTCTGCTCAGTACCTCACAGTCCCTGAAGGCCTGGGAGGGGACGCCCAGCAGCCTTGGAGGGAGCCTCGGCATCTGGGCCCAGGCTGACCATTCTCTTCTTCTCCCAGTCACCACCCTGAATGCCTCCTCCCATGGCTTGGTCCTCCACGGCCTGGAACCTGCCAGCTTGTACCACGTACGCCTCATGGCTTCCAGCAAGGCCGGGGCCACCAATAGTACAAGCCTTACCCTGATGACTTTGGCCCTAGGTAAGGAGAGCAGGGGGCTGGCCAGCCAAGGCTGTTGGGAAGGTTCATCACCCAACGGATCTCTCATTTTGAGGCCCTGCCTGGATCTGCTAGTCTGAGGGAGGAGACTGAGCCCAACCCATGAAGCCCAGGCTGAGGGAGGAGGCCCATTCCTGCCCTCAGAGCCCAATCTGAGGAAAGAGGCCCAGCCCTACTTGCATGCACTCTAATTTCTTCTGGCTTTCCCCTCACCCCAGAGGAGTCTGAGCTGCATATCCTCCTGGGCCTCTTTGGCCTCCTGGTCTTGCTCATCTGTCTCTGTGGGGCTTCCCGGTTCTGCTGCAGACCCAGGTGAGTCCTCTCAAGACACCTAACACCTACCTACCCCTGCCCACAGGGAACTGCAGGCTGGAGCGGGACTGTGCAGGTCCCTCCTTGCCTTCCCAGGCCTCAGGGCCCATGCCTGGGTCCAGCCCTGCACCACCTTCTCTCTGTACTAGGGAGCCTTCAACTGCTAGAGCGGGTGGGAGAAAGCATGGCAAGATGGGAGGGGGCATGCCTGACCCAGCCTTCACCTGCCTTCTTCTCCAGCAGGAAGAATCCCCTCTGGCCAAGTGTCCCAGACCCAGCCCACAGCAGCCTGGGCTCCTGGGTGCCCACCATCATGGTTGAGGTAAGAACCCCCATGGGAGAGGGAAATGGGGCCAGGGGCGCTGGCCCAGGCTCAAAGTGAAAGGAACCTCCCCCAAGGATGAGTCCTCAGGCCTTCCCATCACTTCCTAGCAAGGTGCCCTCCCTCTGGAGTAGAGCAGATCCGAGTTTGCATCCCAGCTCTACCCATTTCAAAGCCTCAGCCATCTCACTGTGAATTGAGGTGAATCTCACACAGAATCATTGGGGACATGCACCGAGCTAAGTCTGAAGCCCATAGCACGCGTCAGGAATATATGAGGTGCTTTGCAAGTGTCACCCTTTGGGCTCCAGCAGAGAGCAGCAGGAATATCCCCACAACAGGCCCACCGTAGGAGGGCACAGTGGCTGGGATGACTACGAGATAAATCATGCCCTCACCCCATGTCCTTGTGTCCAGGAGGCCTTCCAGCTGCCCAGCCTTCGGGACCCCGGCATGCCACCCATCACCAAGATCACAGTACTGGAGGAAGAAGAGAAGAAGCCGGGGCCCTGGGAGTCCAACGACAGCTCAGGGACCTGTGGCCTCCCCACCCTGGTCCAGGCCTATGTGCTCCAGGGGGACCCAAGAACACCTTCCACCCAGCCCCAGCCCCCGTCTAGCACCAATGACCAGGTCTTTTATGGGCAGGTGCTGGGCAGCCCCACAGGCCCAGGTCCAGGGCACTACCTCCGCTGTGACTCTACTCAGCCCCTCCTAGGGGGCCTTACTCCCAGCCCCAAGTTTTATGAGAACCTCTGGTTCCAGAACAGCCCCCTGGGGACCCCAGAGCCCCTTGTCCCAAACCAGGAGGATGATTGTGTCTTTGGGCCACTGCTTGACTTCCCCCTCCTGCAAGGGCTCCAGGTCCATGGGGTGGAGGGGCTGGGGGGCATCTAGCACTTCCTGGGACCCCCGCCCAGGCCTGCCTCTTGAAAGGCCTGGGCCATCCAGAGGAGAGGAGAATATCAGTAAGCCCATCATGAAAAAATCATCTCGTCCCAGAAGGGCAGGAAGACTACCAGTATCTCCCTATCTCTGGTCCCCAGCATCCTTCCTCCACCTCCCAGGCCCCATGGGCTGACCCTGCCTCTCACTTTAGTGGCCAGAGAATGCTTCATCCAACCCTGCCCACTAGCCTTCTGTGTTTAATTCCTGTAATTTTAGTCTCTTAAACCGGTTCAAGGTTTGGTTTGTTTTGGTTTCGAGAAACTCTTGAGTGTGCCTGAGTCTCTGTTCTTTTTCTTTTCAGGGCCCTAGCAGTGATGGGGGTACTTATCAGAACTGTTCGTTTGTGTATTCTTTCCTTCACTCATTAATTCCACCAGCCCACATGTAGTGTTTAGGTCCTGTGCTGGCAGCAGGGATTCAAAAATGATTTGGCTCAGTCCACCCTCAGAGGGCTCCCATTCTAGTGGTGGAGACTTGAAAACTGGCCATTAGGGCACAGTGGCCAGAGTTATCTTGTGAGGGTGGGGGTGAGGGGTCACAAAATGCTATGGGATATGGGGAATACACTTCAGAAAAGACCAATCCCTGTTGGAAAAATATAATTAAAAACAAAATCTCCTGGGCTGCCTGGCTGGGTCAGTCAGTGGAATGTGTGACTCTTGATCTCAGAGTTGTGAGTTCCAGCCCCATGTTGGGTGTAGAGATTACTTAAAAATAAAATATTAAATATATATATGTTAAATATATATATTTTTATTTAATATAAAATATTATATATATATATATATATATATATATCCTGCCAACCTAGAAAACCTCTCCACAAGGGTAGAAGAAAAAGAAATCTGTTTTATTATTGAATGAACATTAAACCAGAATGTGAAACGCATGTGCATCACCAGCAATCCCCTAAAGAGCTTGAAAAGACAGAAGTCTTACCCTTGTATATAGCCAGGTGGATACAGGTTATTGAATACATTTTCTTAAGATAAACAGTAACTTGTCCTCAATGACACCATCTGTCTTTGTCACACAGAGTTCATCCTAAATTCTCCTGGTAAATGGGGTAGCCACGCAAGTTTACTAATTGTCTTTACCCAAAAGAAAACTAAATTTCTCATATCTTTATGAGAAGAGTCAGGTTTGCAACTCAGAGGCAGGCAGAAACTGGGAGACAGGGCCACTGCCTCCCTTAATGATTACATTTCAAGAGATGGCTCCCAGATCCTTGAGAAAAACATGTTGTAAAACTGGCAAGAGGCTTATTTAGCTTTTAAAAAGATTTACGAGTGCCTCAAAAGGGCAGAGAAAGAATTCACAATTACAAGTTTTCAAAAGTAAATGCTTTAAGCAAAGTGAAGGGGAGAAGAACTTTCTCCCTCTTTGCACCAGGGAGAATTAAAATTTTATTTTTGTGTCATCAAAAATTTATTTTCCCTACTTTTAATTTGTAGTTGTCCTTACACCCCTCATTTCACCAATATTAACACAGCAAATATTGATCAAATGCCTACTATATAGCGGGTCCTTGGCACACAACTGCCTCAGGTAATCCTCCAACAATGCAAAAAACTGATACTGTTATTACCATTCCCATGTGATGAATGAGTACACCGTGGCCCAGAAAGGTGGAGTGACTTGCCCGCAGGATCATACAGTGAGTAAATACTGATGAGTAAAATGAGCTATGATTTCAGCCCAGGACTGTCCCATTCCAAAATCAACGAACGACCTTCATCACGAGGCTTACCAGGCTGCCCGAGAGGAGGCTGGAACCCAGTAGTTCTTAGGGGGCCTCGTCGTGGAATACAGGAGGAGAGGAGGCGGAAACACTAGGTTGGGGGAGAAGAATACGGCAGGCCCCACGGGAGCCTCCAAAATGACCGGGGCCCAAGGCCAAGTACATAGAGTGGGATTAAGGGCGGGATGCCCAAGGCGGAAAATGGCATCTTAGAATTTATACAGCACCGGACACCACTGACCAGGCCCGCAATCACCCAGCCCCCAGCCCCGCACGGCTGCTAACCGGACCTCTCCCCTGGACCCAATCGCGCCGCACCCCGGGTCTTGCCTTTCCCATCCATTCTCTCGGTCTTCATCTGCTCCGGTCTCGCAACTGCACTCCATTGGTCGAGCCTGAGCCAGCATGGCGGCGCCCTTGTAAGGCTGTCCGTGCCGCAAAAGGGACGGTGGCGGCGGTGGCGCCGGCCCCGCGGGGTCACAAGTCGGCATGCTGAGAACAGCGTGGAGGGCGCTGAGGTCGCTTCCGACCCAGGCAGTGGCCCAGGCTCCAGTCCGCGGGCTGCCGGGCGGAGCGTGCGCCAGGCCTCCCTTCCGCCAGTGGGGCCTTCCCTCCCCTCCTGGAGGTGAGGAGCTGAGAACCTAAGCAACTCGAGCAGGGAGGTGGGGTTGGGCGGAGATGGGGGACACGCGGGACGAGGATGGGGAAGAAAGGCCATTGGGTGGGGAAGAAGTAAGACGAGGTGGGAGAGGCGTGGGGCTGCGGGGTGCGGAAGAAATGGGGCGGCTGCTAGGCGCCGAAGCGCCAAGACCTTGCAGGAAGGGTAAATGCAGGGGCCACAGAAAGGAGTCGAGGCTGGACTGTTTAAGGAGATGGGCCTCGGCCCTCTCTCTTCTGCACAGGTGTTATCCTTCCGGCCGTTCGCGGATATGCCATCCAGAAACCAGGTAGGAGCTCTTGGGGTGGGATTTCCACGGAGAGAGGGACGTCTGGAGGGACGCCGGGTGGCCAAGGGGACAGAGGTGGCTACTTAGAACCACTCGATGGGGGTGGGCCAGAGGTCCTGAGCAGAAGACCCCCACGTCCGCCTTGTCAAAAGGCTGTAACCTGAAACCTGCCCGGGACCGGGTGGGGGGTGGGGGTGGCGAGCCGGCGCGGGAGCTTTCGGACTGGGTTTGAGTGAGAGTGAGCTAGCAGGGGGAGGGCGTGCTGGGCGTACCCAGGCCTACCTAGAGTCTAGGTAGACACTTTGTGTCTACCCTTCCGTGGTGGAGGGCTTGGTTTCCCGTTCCAAGGCAGTGTGCATCTCTCTTACTAAAGAGATCTCTCTTCCTGGGCACATGATATTGGGCAAGTTACTTCCTCCAGTCACATTCTAAAATGATTGTAGAAGTTATCTATTTGAGAGGATTGTTGTTAGGATTCAGTGATAACACATGAAAAGCATTCTTAGCACTGAGCGCAATAAATGCAGTCTATATTAGCATTTATTGCTACTAATATTATGTACACAGCGGCAGAGCAGGGTCTGACTGGAGAGGACAAGTTATCGCCCTTGTACCTCTCCCTCATCCCCGAGGGAATAGGACACACACCGAGGCCCGAGGTCGAGGGTTTCCGATTTGTGCTTACATTTCAGGTGTCCTAAAGCTAGGGGTCCCTCCTCAATCCCCTTATTTCATTCATGCAGTCAGCCAGCAAGCGTTTGTCAAGTACCTGTTCTACATGAGGCCACGGACCAGACCGGGGATTCAAAAGGAGTCAAACTCAGTCCGTCCACAAAAGGCCCCATCCTGGTAGGGGATTCGATAACTGTAGAGTCAGAGATGTAAGAGGTGGAGGCACAATATGGGATCTTAGGAAAGGCAATCTACTCCCAGCGTGAAATATCAAGACAGTTGCCTGCGGCGTTTGCAGAGGAGAAGCTGAGCCCAGAGATATCCAGTGTTTTGCTTGAGACCCTGGGTGCCTCACGGAGTTGGTGACAAAAGCCAGAACTGAGGGGGTGGGCAGTGAGAGTTGACTCTTGGTGTTTTCCATCCCTACACTTGACAGTCCAGCGCAGCCAAGAAGATGACCCGCCCCCTTCCACGCTGCTCAAAGACTACCAGAACATTCCCGGAATTGAGAAGTAAGCAAAAAAGAAATCTCTTTGATGAGGTAGGGTGCCCTAAGAGGAGTGAGGAGGAGGAAGGGAAGACAGTGACTGGTCCGGCCTGGCCCACTGTATCTGAAGCTTGGTCATAGAATCAGGCAGAGGACTCTTGAAGCCCAGGCTTGGTGAGGGTGAGTGGCAGGGCAGAATGGCATTCATGGAGCTCAATTTTTTGCCTTTTGTTGTACTCTGGTTTAGTTAGCAAGGAGGCAACATACCTCATGGGTCTTTGTGAAATCTCTCATCTCTGGATCCTCAAAAAAGCCCTCTGAGGGAAGAAACAGTGTCTCCCTTTTATACATTACCAAGTTGTTCTATGTCATACAGCTCCTAAGGGACGGAGCTGAAAGACACCAAAGCCGGGATCCTTCTGCTCAGTCCCTGCCCTATGCCCTAGGAGCTGTCCTGTGTGACATGAGAAGAAAACGATTATAGAATTGAAATGTCTCAAGACAGATTGAACCATACCTTTTGCTGAAATGAAAATCTTCCCTTTGCCCTCCCTGTGATGGGCCTGGAACACTCACACGGACAGCCCCAATTTTGTGTAGTTATCACATCGTTCCATGTTCTCAGCGCAGCACATCAGATTCATGCTGTTAATCCCCGAGAAATGGCTCCCCGCTTCCACAGAGACTCTTTTGTTATAAAAGAAATTTTCAGGGGCGCCCGGCTGGCTCAGTTGGTGGAGCATGAGACTCTTGATCTCGTAGAGATCTACGTTGGATGTAGAGATTACTTAAAAATAAAATGTTAAAAAAAAAATTTTTTTTTAACCGTAATTGCTTTTCAAACTAAAATGGAAACAGCATTGTTTCCCCTTCCTCCCCGTCCCCCCACACCTGTCTCTCATTGCTCTGGTTTCCGCACAGGTTTGACGATGTTGTAAGAAGACTCTTGTCTTTGGAAATGGCCAACCAGGTAAGTGACCTGTGCAAAACCCCGGCCTCTCCTAGTCCTCTCCTCTGGGACTTCCTCCTACCGTGGTAACACCACCCCAGGCTTCTCAAGTCACAGTATTTATCCCAGTGTCATTCTGTGACCACTCGTCCATCCCCCAGACTGAGCATCTCGAGGGCAGGGACGGTCTTGTTCTCTCACTGTATCCCTAGCACCCGGCAAACAGTAGGTACTCAGTAATGATCTAATGCCTGAATGAATGAGCAAGGTTTGGAGACATTCATCCAACAAGCCATTTCACCTGCCATTGGCCTCGGACTCACCTAGATGTGAATAGCTACGTGCTGACCAAAGGCCTTGCCCTGATGAACAGAGTGAAGCCAGGCGCTGAACTTCATGGCCTAGGTTCTATGACTGTAGCCAGGGCCTGTGTGGTATGAAGGCTAGCTCTTAGGGGCTGGCAGACCACACAGATTCTCTGTCTCTATCCTCAACAGAAGGAGAAGCTAAAAGTCAAGCAAGAGCAATTGATGAAGAAGATTGTGGCAAACCCTGAGGACACCAGCTCCCTGGAGGCTCGAAGTTGGTCAGGGGACCCTTGGGGAGTGGGAGAGCGGCGGGAAGGGGAGGGGGGTCTGCTAGCTGGTACTTGATCCAGGGCTCTTGTCTACAAGTACACTAGGTATTAGATGTGACTTGATAAAGGGAGAGACAAGAAGGACCCAGAGTGATGAAAATTGGACTCTGTGATGCTAGAGTCAGCGCCCAGGTCCCACCTCATACCTCTGTGTGAGCTCAGGAGAGTT